GTGGAGTTGCAATAAATTTGAATAAATTTGCTTAAGCCTGGTTTCCAGTGTCCTCGAAGTTGGCTCCACGGCTTCTGCACTTATATATTGCGGCTCAGAAGAGAGAGAGCACTAAGCGCAGAAGCCCTGGGTACGAGGTTGATGATATATGGTAAGTTATTCTAATCAAGACGTGTTTTTGTGTAAAAATAGGGTCTGCTTAATAGGACAAGCGACTAAACGCTTTTTGATGATACGTCATACTGCAAGACCTGAATAGATGCAAGAGCGTTTATAGGTAAACGTAATCTCCTGGCGGAGATTATACAGTGAACTCCAAGAACAAGGTATTCATCGAAGTTTAGATAAATATCAAAATTGATATCGCTGGAAGAAAAAAATGACGAGCACACTCCAACTGAGACACTTTCTAAGAAACTAAGCTTTCAAAATGTTTCATAAACCAAACCAGATTCAGATGTCAGGATCTGTATCCACATGATACTAAAATTTGGTTTTGGATACCAAAGTGTGAATGACTTGTATGCCGAGTGGGTATTACAAAAATTCAAACATTAAGATATTAATGCTTTATGTCTCCAGTGGTCTCCCAATATCTTTGAACACCAACTTGAGTCTGCGTTCTTGAAAATAACCAGTCTTTGACCTTGTTACACTGCATATTACAGTTTTTATGTTTAAATTTCACAATCAAATGTTACCTTCTGCGTTCAGTTCCTTTTTTACTTCCGTTGAAACAATCCATAATTATATTACACGATCAACTGCAAATCAATCTTATTATCTTCCCAAAGCAAGGACAAATTATGGTAAATTTAATATTAGGTTTCAAGGGCCTAAAGTCTGGAACTCGTTTGGTTTAGATTTTAATTAAATCTGTTTCTTACATGAAATTTAAAAAAAAAATTAAGAAAAGAATTTTTAAGTAAATATTGATAATTTTTTGTTTTTCAATAAGATTCAATATTAAGACTGATTTCTGCTCCTCGTTTCAATTTTTTATTATAATGAAAACTATGGTAGAACTTGTATTAGTGTATGTGTAAATATAGTATAGTTTTGTGTTTGTGTGTATAATGAGTACTGTATATCTTCGACCCGTAATGTAACTTAATTTATGTTTCCTGGCTTCCTAACTTTTTTAGCTTTTTAGTTATTTTAGGAAGCCAGTACCTCTATACTTTTAAATATCGAACTTGTTAAAATTTTCTGTAACTGTTTATTTGTAGGTAAATAAAAAAAATTGTTGTTGTTGTTGTTGTTTGATTTTCAACTTGGTTGTCTAGTTGTTGACTGTTGAGTCTCGTTGTCGTTGTCGTCGTTGTTGTTGTTGTTATAATTTATAACAATGACAGACGTGCACTGTATAGTTGATTCAGGGATGCCAAAATTTATGGTAACCAGTATCCAGAAGTGGGATGTTAACGATAACATCGGGATCGGATAATTAACGCAGGGACCGGTTGTTCTAAAGTGGGTTAGCTTAACCTAGGTTAATATAAAATTCAAAGCAAACTTCCTGACAGTTTGTCTATAAATTTGGAAATATTTCTTCAGAGATCTTGTCTGGATCGATAGGAGTTCCTCCGAAGTTTTGAAATAAACAGACGTGCAGAAATATACAAACTAAAACAGCAGATTTTAATCTAAAAAAAAATTAAAAATTTTAACCTAGGGTTAGCGCTAACCCACCTTTGAACAACGGGCCCCAGATTGATAAATCTATTAAACGCCGGAAATCGGCCGGCCTGATTACCGATTTTTTTGAAATGGCTAATTAATCGATAGCCTGCGTGCAATCTCATGCAAGTATTAACTGTTATTAACGGCCAGATCATGGGTCGCCGTCAATATAACCTGAGTATCAGGCCCGGTTTTCTTCTCCTTAAATGCGGGTTGTTGGAAGGGAAAAGAGGGTCTGATACAAATCTGGCCTGGTCTGAGCGCATGTATATATAATAAAGCCAAAATCCGGCTATTGTTCATGATATACTGTATTTAGTAATTTCAACTATACTTAGATTGTTGTTATTATATGACGACGATTGGAAAAATTGATGTTTTTGATGAAACCCAAGCTGGGAGATGTATGTCGAACGAGTAGCCTACAGCATTGTTTCGCAGTAAACGTGCCAACTCTGCTGAGTTTGATCGGAAGCAAAACGTATTCATTATTGAAGGATTTACTTTTGCCAGAAAAGCCTGTAGACAAGAACTTTGATGAGATAGTAAGTACATTACAGAAGCATTTAAATCCCAAACCACTAGAAATAGCCGAACGTTTTCGTATTTATAAGAGAAATCAGCAAGAAGGGGAGAGCATCTTGAGTTATGTAGAAGAGTTAAAGAAATTAACCACACATTGCAATTTTTGAAGAAACTTGGAAGAAACCTTGCGCGACAGATTGGTGTGTGGATTAAGTAATCAGCAAATTCAGAAACGTCTCCTTGCAGAGTCGAAATTAAAATTCTCCAAAGCTGTTGACATAGCAATTACTATGGAAACTGCCACTCGGGATGCTACGGAGATCCACAGATCTTTGAGGAGAAAAACCTCTTGGTCTTGACAAACTGACACTGAATAGACCCTCGAATAGATCAGATAGTGGCCGACCTTCCCCTGTAGTGTTTTATCGACGTGGAGCTAATACTCGTGTTGCAACTGAGTGTAGATTTAACAATGAATTCTGTCACAAGTGTGGAAAGAGAGGTCATATTCAAAGAGCTTGTCGGGGCTGGGACACAACAAACCAAGAGGCGGTCGACCCTCGCCCAGATCAAGATACCAGAAATCGACCCATACCATCGAGAAGGAACCAGATGAGTATGGGGACTGTTTGAATAACCTAGCAGTTCATAATGTAAACAAATCAAGTAGTGATGTCATATGAGTTGACAATCAACCACTATCCATGGAACTAGACACAGGATCTGCCGTGTCCATTTTGCCATATGACATGTTCTTGGAAAGATTTCGCGACAAGAAGTTAAAGAAAACAACCACTGTACTAAAGACCTACACTGGTGAACTGATCGTTCCAGTTGGTTGCCTTACCGTGCAAGTTGAATACTTAGATCAATCATGGCTACTGTCCATCCATGTGGTCCAGACTAAAGGTCCAGTGTTAATGGGTCGAGATTGACTTCACAAGCTTCGCCTCGACCGAAAACCATTAAGTTGTTGAAATCCTCAGATCCAAGCACGACTACACAAGAGAAGCTGAAAAACCTATTGGATACGTATGCAGAGGTTTTTGAAGACAAGCTGGGAACTTTCAAATCCGCCAAAGCAAGGATAACTCTCAAAGAAGATAGTCAACCACAGTTTCGCAAAGCTCGTCAGGTCCCATATTCCTTACGATCGAAAGTGGAGGAAGAACTGAAGAGACTTAAGAGCGAAGGTATTTTGTCGAAAGTAGAGTGAGTGATTGGGCGACACCGATTGTACCAGTGCCGAAATAAGATAGTTCAGTCCGTATTTGTGGTGACTTCAAATGTACTATTAACCCAACATTACAAGTAACATGTATCCTCTGCCTCGAATCGAAGATATTTTTGCCCATTTAGCTGGTGGGAAAAAGTTCCAAGATCGACCTCCGCCAAGCCTACCATCAGATTGACTTGGAGGCGGAATCCATGATGGACTTGTTTCAATGTAATCAATTAGTGTTTGGTATTACCTCGGCTCCCGCCATTTGGCAGCGTACCAAGGATCAGATTTTGGAAGGAATTTCTGGTATTAGTTCTTTCCTAGATCACTAGATTATATGATTGTGACGGGTAAGAGCGACGCGGAGCATGTGGCTAACCTGGAGGATAATTGCCACACTCATCAGGTGAATTTTAAATTCACCTGATGAGTGTGGCAAGTATTGCTTGTCATACGAAACAAGTTTGTAGCGAATAAAATTTTATGAAGTAAACCAGGTTTATTTTCTTTTATCTGAGAACTGAATGGGATTCCCTTCGTCGTGAAGAAGGGTCTTCGCTCGAAACGTTGCAGTTTATTTGTATTTTTCAGGTAGTTGAGTCCTTTTCAATCTGCAACTTTCTGGTGTTATTGTCACTACAACTATGTTGGTTCCAGTGAACTAAAAATACCTGGAACGCTACCTCCAATAGGTTTGGCTTATGATCGGATGAAGCCAAATTTTACCTCCAGCCGCGCGTGTTCTACCTCCAGACACGCGCGTTTGTGTTGCGAGACATTCTCGCGAGACC